ATTCCATACAAATTCATACTCACTTTACTTTTGTACAGTATGAAATGATTTAAACTTACGAACCTAGCAAGATTTAAAAATAAATCTCATCATTTCTAATAATTAGGTGTTCACTAATAATAACTCATAAATTCATTTTATAATAACTCACAAATAATTATAAACAACTGCTTAGAAAATTCAGTCATGTAATCAGTACTTTAGAAGTATATGCTCAGGGCAGCCCGGGTGGCTCAGCGGTTTAGCGCCGCCTTCCACCTGAGGCGTGATCCTGAAGACCAGGGATCGAGTCCCATGTCGGGCTCCCTGCATGGAGCCTGCTTCTCCCTCTGCCTATATCTCTGCCTCTCTCTCTCTCTCTCTATGTGGGTCTCTCATGAATAAATAAATAAAAATCTTAAAAAAAAAAAAAGTATATGCTCAAACTATTCTAATGAAGTTGTTTAAAACAATCTTTTCTCATTGAAGTGGAGATTTTGTTAGACCAAATTTACTGAAGAAATGTCACTCCATTTGCCACATACACACAAACTTATCTTGGATTAAACTCACAAAGATAATGTCAATTAAGTCAAATCTCACTTCCAGAAACTCAACTATACTGCCTTCCAAACAAAGATTACAAAAACTAACCCATAATAATACTTTCCAAGTACTTCTCCATCAATGTAAATATTAAGAACTGCTAGCTGGTAGATATAGCATATGTGACTGTGCCACTACGTTCTGTAGAAGTAATTATGACTGTAATTTCTTTCAGCCAATTCACTGTATTAAATATCCTTACAAATGTCTTAACAATTGTTAACAATTTAAAATATAACTTAGGGGCACCTGGATGGCTCAGTGGGTTGAGTCCACCTTCAGTTCAGGTCATGATCCCAGAGTCCCGGCATTGAGTCCCATATCTGGCTCCCTGCTTGGCAGAAGTCGACTTCTCCCTCTGCCCCACCCCTGCTCATGCTCTCTCTCTCAAATGAAAATAAATAAAATCTTTACTATAAAATAAAATGTAACTCAGTTGAAGAAAGTAACCATGGTAAAGCTGGTAAATTTGAAGTAATCTTAACAATATAAGACCTCTTATTCTTCAATATTTTTAGGGACAGAAGGTTAAGCTTTTGGATATTCTATGAGAAATAGTTTAACAACTCAGCAAAGTGAAAAGCCAGATACCATTTGAGCATTTCTACATAGGACCAAAAAATAACTAATTTAATGAAATGCACCATTTTGCTTTAAAAAAAAAAAAAGGGACACGTGGGTGGCTCAGTAGATTAAGCATCTGCCTTCAGCTCAGGTCAGGATCCCGGGGTCCTGGGATTCTCCCTCTGCCCCACCCCTGCTTATGCTCTCACTCTACCACCCACTCCCCTGCCCCTGCACACACACACACCCTCTCTCTCTCTCAAATAAATACAACCTTTAAAGGATAAAAAAATTTTAAAATAAGGAAACTGAAGATAAAAGTTACATTTCTTCCTTTTTTAAAAAAATAAGAGTGAGGAGGTACTTTCTCCTTACAAAGTCACATGGCTTAAGGGTATTAAATTTCTGTTTAAAGTTGAAGACTAAGGGTGTCTGGTTGGCTCAGTCAGTGGAGCATGACACTCTGGATCTCAGGAGTCATAAGTTCGGGCCCCACACTGGGAGTAGAGATTACTTTAAAAAGTCAAACACTTAAGCTTTGTGAGTAATATCAAATTATGTATTTTTCCATTTAGCATATTATCTTCTCCCTTCATTTTTATATACTACTATAGGGAGCTTCAAGGATGGCTCCCAATGACCCCACCTCCTAGTACACACACTCCTGTGTAATCCTCTCTCCTGAGTGTCTGCTGGATTCAAGGACTTTTTTATTTTTCTTAAGATTTTATTTATTTATTTGAGAGAGATAATGTGCAAGCAGAGGGAGGAGCAGAGGGAGAGGGAGAAGCAGACTCCATGCTGAGCAGAGTCTGACTCGGAGCTCAATCCCATGACCCAAAGATCATGACCTAAGCCAAAACCAAGAGATGGAGGCTTAACCGAGACACCCAGATGCCCCAGTGACTCACTCTTAACGAAGTGAAAAGGGAGTAAGTAATGGGATGACACTTCCATGATTACATTACAAAATTAAAGGCTCACATGGAAAGGAATTAATATAGGCTATTGGCAAACAGCCAATATGAGAAACTAGGGCCTTCAGCCCAACAACCATGGCAGAACTCAATGCTGCCAACAACCATGTGAGTGAACTGGAGACAGATCCTTCGCCAGAGCCTTCAGATGAAACCATAACCCTGTGGACATGTTGAAAGCAACTTTGTAAGAGACCTTGAACCAGAGGAGCCAGCTTAGATTCTTGATCAACAAAATCTATAACATAACATTTGTTGCCTTAAGTCACTATGTTTTGGAGTAATCTGTTATTTTATTTATTTATCTATATTTATTTTAAAGATTTTATTTATTTATTCATGAGAGACACACAGAGAGAGGCAGAGGGAGAAGCAGGCTCCATGATGGGAACCCAATGTGGGACTTGATCCTGGGACTCTAGGATCAAGCCCTGGGCTGAAGGCAGGTGCTAAACCACTGAGCCACTCAGGCATCCCTGGAGTAATCTGTTATGCAGTGCTATGGGTTGAATTGTGTCCCTCAGAGAATTCATATGTTGAAGTCCTAATCCCCACTACTTCAGAAATGTAACTTTTTTTGCAGACAGGCTTTTACAGAGGTAATCATATTAAACTCACATCATTAGGGTAGACCCTAATCCAATGACTGGTATCCTTATAGAAAGGGGAAATTTGGACACACACACACACACACACACACACACACACAAAGAAAGACCATGATGTGAAGAGACAGGGAAAAGATGGCTATCTACAGGCCAAGGGAAAGAGCACTGGAATACAACCTTCCCACATGGAAAGGACCAATCCTTGAGGGATTGGGGTCCTTGGGGTCATGGAAGGGACACACTGATTGCAGACTTTTGGCCCCAGACTATAAGACTAAAAATAAATTTCTGTTGTTTAAGCCACCTAATTTGTAGTAATTTGCTATAGAAGCCCTAATAAATTAATACATATAGCCAGAGAGAACAAATACATATACTTAATACAAAATAACTTTTATTGGCAGTACCAGTATCAGTCTTAATGCAAGGCTCAAGTAGTTGGCCAAAGCTTCTAAGTATTAATTCTGAAAAAAGACATTAGTCCTATCAGAAAAATCTTAGACCACAGGTTTATTTTTTTAAGTCAGCTAGGACTCCAGCAATCATATAATCTAATCCATTTATTTCAAAAATTGAGGATGCTGATGTGCTAGGAGCTGTTTAGAACACTTAATATATAGTAATACCTCTCAAGAAACTGATGAGGGATCACTATCATCAATTCCATCTTTAGATGAAGAAACTGATATCTAGAAATTAAAAAATCACACAGCTGGTAAGTGGCCCTAACTTAGTAAACTGCGGTGCACAAGAGATAAGTGATTTAAGCAAAATCACAGTTAGTAGTTGAGCTGGGACTAAACCTAATGGTCCTTTCTCTTAACCTTCAAATCTTTTTTTCAGAAAGTTAAATTGAAAAGCTTTTCTTCTACTTGCTATATTCAATAACACTGCTACCTTAGAAATATATGTGATTATCTATCTGCCCTTCTCTGACTACCCAAACATGGTTGCTCATTTTTCTCCCACTCCCTAAACCCTAAAATATCATCTTTCCATCCCTAATGCTCTTCTTTCATCTATGTTAATCATTATTATATACTGGAACTCAAGGCTTCACTTCTACTCAGTTTGGGAAACAAGGCTTTAGCTTAATGTTTGATCCCAATTAAAATACAAATACACCTGGAAGGGCTAATTTCCTATTATGAGCCATCTGCATTTCAGTAGGAAAAAATCAGATCCTTTTTCAGAGAACAGGCTTCTAAATAAATATGTCAAGACAGCCATTGTCAAGTTTTAAAAAGACTCTGACATAAGATACAACTTATTCTGGGGTACCTGACTAACGAATCAGTGTCTGTTTTGGGATATCTGGGGTTGGGTGATAGCCTTTATTTGGGAGTCTGAACTATAAGACACAGAGTGTGGGAAGTGGTAACAACCATGTTTCCCATGACAAAGAAGAGAAATGTGAAAAGTCAGCTCTCCGAAGACGGTGAAACAGACACAGAAAAGAGGCACTCCACTGACAGTGTGAGGGAAATCTGACTGCATTTGGGTACTGGGTTCTTGTATAGCCCAGCTGCATTTCTGTGTCCCTGAATCTTTTGATGTCTCCTGGGACACACTCAAAAGTCTGATAACTTCCCTTTTGCTTAAGCTATTGGAATTGTATCACATGCAATAGAGAACTAACATCGTCAAAAAGATACCCTCTCTACAACTAAGAACCGGGATGCCTGGATGGCTCAGCGGTTCAGCAGTTGAGCGCCTACCTTTGGCTCAGGGTGTGATCCCAGGATCCCAGATCCAGGATCAAGTCCCACATTGGGCTCCTTGTGGGGAGACTGCTTCTCCCTCTGCCTGTGTCTCTGCCTCTCTATGTTTCTCATGAATAAATAAATAAAATCATTAAAAAAATAAACTATTCACTCAAAAGAACTACAATACAGCAGAGTTAAAGAGTTTCAAACCCTGAGCTTACAACTAGATTTTTCCAGAAGAAAAAGAAAATGATGTTTTAAAAACAAGATTTTATTCTATGTAGGTACCAACAATAAAAGTAATAATGCATTAAAGCCAAAATTGAAACTGAAATTAATTTCTTCTAATATATCCTTTTTTGGATGCAGAAAACTCAAGCCCTTCAAGAAAGCAGGTTTGCCTAAGCTTAGCCAGCCATCAGCAATTAAAGGAAGACTAAAATCTAGCTCTTTTTTGAGTCAGAGTTCAGTGGTCTTGTTACAATGCTAATGCAAAAAAAACTACCATAATTCTTGCTCCTCACTCCTTATTCAATAGACAAAACAGTCATAAAACTGACCTGATTCTCTGTTCTGGGCTGGCATGAACCTGCGTAGAAACAATAGGAGTAGCAGGCACTTTCTTCCTGAAGCAGATGTGGAGAAGTATTATACCTATGATGAAAGAAAGAAAAAGAAAACCCAATTTATTTTCAGAATATGTTTTGGCATAATGAGTCGATTTTCTACTGATTCCTTCTTTATCTCCTTATTTGTTGGTAGTGATTTAGTAGTGGAACACATGACAATGATTTATTCAAGACAGATAAAATTTACTAGATAAAATCCATAAAGAATACAGTTGTTTAAATTTGGTATCTATAAACCATCTGGTTCAGCTTCTTCATTTTACTGAGACCAGGAAAAGTTATACTAAGAATCAAGGACAACAGTTACTTAGTGGCAGAGCCAGGTTCAGAACGTAGTTCTTCCCATATCCAGTCCAGTATTCATTGGTACATCACAGATCAAACTCGTTTTGGAAAGCCAAATATAAGCAAAAAAAAAAAAAAAAAGCAAAAAAAATCCTAAATTCCTGTTAGTTTTGTCAAGCATCTGAAGGTAAATGTAGTTTGTTCTATATTAAAATCAGAAAGCAATGTTTTCTCACTTAATGGTTATAACCCAACCTCAAGAGATTTAGCATGCCTTATATAAGATAGTAAAATGTTTGTTTTATTTGGGGCACCTGGCTGGTTCAGTCAACACAGTATGCAACTCTTGGTCTCAGGGTTGTGATTTCAAGCCCCATGACGGATATAGAAATCACTTAAAAAAAAAAAAGTCTTGGGGCACCTGGGTGGCTCAGTGGTTGAGTGTCTGCCTTCAGCTCAGGTCATGATCCCAGAGTCCTGGGATCGAGTTCCACATCAGCCTCCCCATAGGGAGCCTGTTTCTCCCTCTATGTCTCTGCCTCTCTCTGTGTGTCTCTCATGAACAAATAAATAGAATCTTTTTTAAAACGTCTTAAAAAATGTTTATTTGCCATTCAGTATTTCAATATGAAAACACTAGTATATGAATCACGAAATATAGGTTCTAATCTTTCCTAATTCTATTCTCAACAAGTTTTATGTTCTTAATCAATTACGTCTTTGGTTCCAAAGTGACTTCATTCAAAAACGAGGAGGGTGAACTAATTCCCACGGACCTTCTAACTCTAAAACATTATACCTATGAATCGCTTCCTCTTTTAGCAACATTCTGCTTTTCTGATCGACTGTTTTTTGTCATGTATTTGTTAATCTCTCTGATATTATTACAGGAGTTAAAACATAATCAGAAATATTGCCTTCAAAGGAAGCCTGGTTGGTTAAGTTGGTAGAGCATGTGACTTTTGATCCCAGAGTTGTGAGTTCGAGCCCCACAATAGGTGTAAAGATTAATTTTAAAAAAATAATTAAAAGAGAGTTGTACTTAAAAAAAGAAATACTGCCTTCAAATATACAGTTAATTATCACTCAAAAGCCTATGTAACAATAACCTAGTTTTGCTGGCTAGCTCACCCAGCCTGAAGTGGAAGAAGTATTTTTCAAAATCTACCTCTTAGGGAGTTTTTTTTTAAATCTTGGAATTATTTTCCCAAATGATTCATTCAGTTATTCATCCAACAAGTTGTTACCAAGTGACTTGACAGATAGACACACACCAGCTTAATCAGATAAAAGACTTTAAAACAAGATACCTCTAGTGAAAAACTGAATGACATTAGGAATTCAAGTGGCAATAAGGGAATAAGCAGAAATGATGACATGTCTCCTAATTTACGCTTTCCCTATTTTTTAACTTATTACATAAAAGTTACTTGTAACACGTTTTAAAAAAAGAAAAAGAAAGAGTAAACACCCAGGTACCTACCACCCAACTCAAGAATCTAAATAGAAGTTCCTGGTAATGTTCTCCTAACTTGTTCACCCTCTCCCATGCCCCACCTCTCTCACCCCTTCAGTTTCCTCTAACTGCTCTACTGTCTTTTGTGTTTATCATTACTTGGCTTTTTAAAAAGTTTATTGCAGGGGGGCGCCTGGGAGGCTCAGTCGGTTAGGTGTCTGACTCTTGGTTTCAGCTCTGGTCATCATCTCGCACTAGTGGAATGAACAGGAGCTTCATGCTCAGTCTGCTTCAGACCCTTTTTCCCATTCCCTCTGCCCCTCCTCACTCACTCACTCTCTCATAAATGAATGAATGTTTATCATAGGGATGGATACCTGGGTGGCTCAGTTGGTTAAGCATCTGACTCTTGATTTTGGCTCAGGTCATGATCTCAAGTCCCCCACCTTACCCCTTGAGCTCTGTGCTGAGCATAGAGCCTGCTTAAGATTCTCTTTTCCTCTCCCTCTGCCTCCCCTACCAACACCCGCTTCCCCACCACTAGCATGTGCTCAAGTGCTCTCTCTAAAAATTACCTAATTAATAGTTTGTCACAAGAGAGGCACCTGGGTGGCTCAGTCAGTTAAGCATCGGACTTCAGCTCAGGTCATGATCTCCCAGTCCTGGGACTGGGACCTGCATCAGGCTCCCTGCTCAGCAGGGAGTCTGCTTGTCCCTCTGTCCCTCCCCAGTTGGTGCTCGCTCTCTCAAATAAATATGTTTTTAAAAGTTTATCATATATGTACATATCCCTCAGCAGCATAGTATTCCATTGAATTTTGTGAAAAGAGTACTAAAATAGCTCCCGTCTTTTAGGGTTTGACTTTTTCATTCAGTATTACATTTTAAAAATTCATCCATGTTGTTCCCCTTAGTTGCAGTTCATATCTTTTCACTGTAGAATTATTCTTCATTGTATAAATATATCATAATTATCCATTTTCCTCACAATAGTATCTTATTTTTCTTCCAGGGTTTTTTTCCCCCTATTATGACCATTTGTTATAAATGTTCTCACACGCCTTTTCCTATGTCCCATGTGCCAAAGTTTCACTTAAGTTTGTGCCTAGGAGTTGAGGAATATGCACATGTTCAATTTTTCATGACGATGCCAATTTTTATTTTCCCCAAATGTGTTTAGCAACTTATAATCCCACCAGCAACTACCTGTTCATATTAAACCACATCCAATACTTAGTAATGCTAACTCCTTAATTTGAGAGTATAAAATGGCATCAAATTGTGGTCTGACTTTGCTTTTCCCTGTTGATTAATGATACTGAGTATTTCTTCAGATTTATTGGCTAACTCATGTTTCCTCTTTTATGAAATGCCTATTCATATATTTTGCCACTTCCTCCTCAGTTGTTTGCTCATACTTATTGTTTCATAGAAATTTTAGTACTTTGGATGATTATTTGGTTTTACCCATTTTGAACTACCAGGTACAAGCAAGTGTTGAGATAAAGAAGCAGAAACAAAACAGCAGGAGGCCAGAAAGAGTGGGAAACAGTAAGATAGAGGACCAAATGTTTTTGTATATTAACACAATCTACTGATGTCTTAAAGTACCAGAAGCCTAGAATATTACATAATCCTGTTTTATAATCCTTTATTTTCATATAAATGCAGCCAAAGGCAAATGCTTTGACATGATTTCAATGTACTGTAACTGTAATATGCAATATAATTTCAAGTATCAGCTTTATACAAATTACAATTTAAATCACACTCTAGACAGAGTTCTCATTTTAACCCTGACGTTTTACCTGTTTTCATTTCATGCTTTGGTTGCCTCCAATTTAGAGTAAGTCAGTTATATTGTCAAAGGGGTGAGAATGAATGTATGAATATGCACACAGGTATGAAAACTGAATTCCAAAAATTAAATTATATAAACTAGAAGATCACAGAGATCCTCATTCCAGACTTGGCTAGACAATTAACTATACCTTGCCCTAAGTATGTCTTTAAGTTGATTTTCTTATATTCACATGAAAATTCTAAGGACATTAGGATCATACTCTGGCTTGAATTTCAATAAGGAAAAAAAAAAAAATTCTAGACAGTCCCAAAGGGGTTTTAGGAATTTCTTCCTAAGTGTTATACAAACCAGATGGTTAAACTACAGAGCAACAAAAAGTTGAATGTCTGAAAAAAAAAATTTAATAAGCAGTGCTATAGCCTTCCTGAGCCTTCTCAGGACTCCTGACAGAACACCTGATGAACAGCATTATACAGGAAAAAAAAAAAAAATCAAAAGCCACATAAAATCTGAATCACTCTACACACTGGCCTTGATTCCTATAGAAGAGAACTTCCAGAACCACACTTACCCACTTACCTAAATCTGTACCCTTCTACTGTGCTTGAACTTTCTGGGTCAAAGTCTAGCTCCTCTACTTTAATACTAGGACCATGACCTTACTTTTCAAGGGCAGTGTTCTATAAAGGCCCACTTCTTTCTCATATATCATCAATTTCCTAATTTCCTCCTTCAGATAAAGCAAACCATTAGTGTATACATACATTTCCAATCATTAGAAAACAAACAATAACAATGAACCTTTTTGATACCACTACCCCTCTAGGTCATGACCAGTTTCTCTGATTCCTTTTTGCAAAAGGTCACAAAAGAGTTGTCCGTACTCTGTCTTCAAGATTCTTCAATTCAAATTGAACACATTCCAATTAGACTTTTGCCTCCCAAAATGTCATTGAACTTGAGGGCCACCAATTATCTACATATTGTTAAATCCAAAGGCCAGTGAGTTCTCACCTTTCTTGACCTATCTGCAACTGGCATGACTCATCAAGCCCTGATACACTTTCTTTACCTGGCTTCCAGAACAAAGACTCTCCTGGTTTCATCCTATCTCACTGGCTACTCCTCACCTCCGCTGCTTATTTCTCCTCTTCTCACTGATCACTTAAGTTCAAGTTCTTACCCTCTCTCCACCCTATCAGTAACCTGTACTGACTCTGTCTACAAAACATATCCAGAATCTGACCACTTCTCCTCACCTAGACTTTGACCAGAATAACTATCATTTCTCACTTGGATTTTTCCTACAATTTAGTAACTGGCCTCCCAACTTCTACCCTTGCCCTACTTCAGTTTTTTCTCATCAAAGCAGTCAGAGCAATCCTGATAATCTTACATAATTCATATAATGTAACTCCTGTGTCCAAAATCTCCTAAAGGCTTCTTATCTCAGAGTAAATGCCAAAATCTTTAAAATAGC